ATAGATCTGTTTTGGAAGAAGTACAGCCAGAGTGCTCCTTGGAGGCCAAGATGGCTAAGCTTCGTCTCTCATACTTTGTACATATTATCCGGAGGTAACAGTCGCTGGAGAAGGATGTCATGCTGGGTAAGGTGGAGGGTCAGAGAAAAAGGGGAAGACCCCTAACGAGTTGGTTGTCCAGGTGGCATCATTGATGGACTCAAGTGTGGCAGCGGTAGTGAGGGTGGCCCAAGATCGGACATTGTTTTGTTCTGCTGTGCATGGGGTCTCTATGAGTCGGTTCCGACTCGATGGCACCTGACAACAACAACAACAACAACAACTGTTTGATCTTTGCTGTTATTGCTGGTTTGAGATGATATCGCATTGTTGATTTGATTTGAATCTCTCTGATGGCCAGTGATCGTGAACATTTCTTCATATGTTTGTTGGCTATCCAAAACTCCTACTTGGGGAAGTGTCTGATCATGTCCTGTGCCCATTTTTAAATTGGGTTGCTTGAATTTTTTCTTGTAGCGATGTTGCAGTATCATATATATTTTAGAAATGAGTCCATTATCTGATGTGTCATTGCAAACGGTACTTTCCCATTCTGTGGGTTCCCTTTTTACTCTTTTCTTGAAGACTTTTGATGCATATAAGTTTTTAATTTTTAGTATGTCCCACTCATCTATGATGTCTACTTTTGTGTGTGTACTTTAAAAAATGTTTGGTAGTCTGTGAATGCCCTGAAATAGAGCCCTCACATTAGTCCCTGTTTTTTCATTGATGACCTTCATAATTTTGGGATTCATATTTAGGTCTTGAATCCATGCTGAGTTGGTTTTTGTATAGGGAGTGAGGTAAAGGTCTTGTTACAATCTTTTGCATATCGCATTCCAGTTCTGCCATCACCATATGTTACAGAGACTATCTCCTCCGAATGCAATATACCTAGGCACTTTGTCGAAAATCAGTTGGCTGTATATGGATGGATTCATTTCTGAATTCTCGATTATATTCCATTGATCAATGTATCTTTCATTGTACCAGTACCAGGCTGTTTTGACCACTGCATCCATGTATTAAAATTTGTTATCGGGAAGTGAGAGGTCTCCAACCTTGTTCTTCTTAATCAGTGTTTTGCTTATTCTGGGCCTCTTTACATCCACATAAAGTTTGCAATTTTCTTTTCCATCTCTTTGAAGAATGTTGTTTGGCAGGGGCCATGATGGCTCTGATAAAAAATACATTGCAACAACTTCAGAGGCCATGTCACCAAGGGGCAGAGCAGTGGAGGACCCTAAGTATGAAGGGCTCATTGTTAAGCAAGGTCACAATGAGTCTCCCCATGGAAGGCAAGGCCCTGAGGAGGGATCTCATGTGGGGACCCTGCAGTTTCTGTCTCTTTGTTTTAATCAGCTTATTTTTAATTTTCTTGATTTTATAATGAAAGTTTTCAGTAGAATCTTAGTAAGAATCATATTAAAGATTTGAAACTTGTTTTTAGGCACATTCACACCATATCCAATCATGCGTAGTCCTAAAGAATGCTTTTCACACTAACAATAAGTTTCACCACTAGGAAAAACCAGGTAAAGTTTTTGCCATCACCATTCATTACCTTGCTAATGAATTTCTTTCTGGTTGTTCTGACCCTTTTCCAAAGTGATGTATTAAAATCTCCTACTACAATTGTAGACTTATGTATTTATTTCTTAAATTCTAGTAAGGTTTTCTTCGTATATCTTGGTGTTCTTTCACTAGGAGCGTAGATATTTATTACAGTTATGTCTTCTTGCTCAATTGATCCTTTGATCATGAGATAGTGTTCTTCTTTATCTCTTGCAATTTTTTTTTTTTAATTTACAGTTTTTATTGTGGATTGAATGAAAGTTTACAGGGCAGATTATCAGTTTTACATTCAACAAATCATATACCTTGTTTCATCACATTGATTATAATCTCCTCTATGTACCATCAGTTAACAGTAATTCTCTCTATTCACTTTAGCTTTTTATTGCTGATGGCGATCTTCGCTGCACCTCTATCCTATCCACCAACAAGCCCCGCCTACTCTTCAGTTTTTTGTTCATGTTACTATAAAATATTTTTGAAACAAACTTTCTACTGTACTTACATTCCAGTCAATATTTGCAAAGAAAAGATGTCTTTTTATTTCTTCAACTCCTTCTGTACCTATAAAAATGGACCAAAAAAAAAAAAAAAAAAAA